TACATAAAGTCCTTTCTTACAGTTACGCAACATGCTGTCTTTCCATAGAACAGGTTATATTCTGGATTCCTCTCTGCCTACCAAAATGCCTACATTCCACAGTGATTATATTTTCTTTTAATTTAGCTTGAAATGGTTTTTGGTGGATGGATCATGGGTAGGAAACTAGTTTGCCCTGATTTTCTGCAAGTAAAATTTGATTATATACAGAGAAATAATTGTTGAATTATCTAAATATAAGCTTAATGTTAAATGGAGGAATGAAATTTCAGATAGTTTAAATCAACAGAATATTTTTAATACTGTAGTTATTTTAATCATATTGACCTTAAAAAGTTACCACTGTGATGACTTATGATTTTTAAAAACGTAGCATCTTTTCCTTATTATCAGCATATTAATTTAAATTCTTTCCTGAAAAGATAATTTCCATTTTGATGAACATTTATAAATATTTATGAGTTGCATTTATTCTTCCCAAATGTTTTAAAGTAAAGTTTACTATCAATAGGTGATGGAAGCTCATCTTCAAAAGTGAATTCAGAAACCACTGGTCAGGTACCATACTGAACCAATGAGATGAAGGAAATCCATCCCTAGAACTGCGGGGCATCTGGGCCTTTAAGGGGGTGACTCTCTTAGGAGGGTCATCATGACTTCGTTTTTTTTTTTTTTTTTTTGACAGGCAGAGTGGACAGTGAGAGAGAGAGACAGAGAGAGAAAGGTCTTCCTTTGCCGCTGGTTCACCCTCCAATGGCCGCCGCTGCAGCCGGCGCACCGCGCTGATCCTGGCAGGAGCCAGGATCCAGGTGCTTTTCCTGGTCTCCCATGGGGTGCAGGGCCCAAGCACCTGGGCCATCCTCCACTGCACTCCCTGGCCATAGCAGAGAGCTGGCCTGGAAGAGGGGCAACCGGGACAGAATCCGGCGCCCCAACCGGGACTAGAACCCGGTGTGCCGGCGCCGCAAGGTGGAGGATTAGCCTATTGAGCCACGGCGCCGGCTATGACTTCGTTTTTAACTTCAGCATCCTTTGTTTACTTGTTGGTCTGCACTGCTTCTAGGTTTTGCCTCTTCAATTAGCATCTTAGAATGGTGACATCTCTTATAGTATACTGTTATATAATGTTGTGGCTCTCAAGATATGGAACTATTTTCAAAAAGTTTCTTGGCCCTTACTCTAGTCCCACTGAATCAGAAGCCCTGCAGTGGGGCTCAGAAATCCATGTTTCAGGGAGATGCCCCAAAATTAAATTAATACGCTGTGGTGTAGTGTGTAGAGCTGCTGCCTGCAGTACCGGCATCCATATGGGTGCCGGTTCGATTCCCGGCTGCTCCACTTCTGATCCTGCTTTCTGCTATGGCCTGGGAAACCAGTAGAAAATGGCCCAAGTCCTTGGGCCCCTATACCTACATGGGAGACCGGGAAGACGTTCCTGACTCCTGGCTTTGGATCGGCTCAGTTCCGGCCATTGCAGTCAATTGGAGAGTGAACCAGCAGATGGAAAACCTCTCTCTCTCTCTCTCTGCCTCTCCTTCTCTCTCTGTATAACTCTTTCAAGTAAATAAATCATTTTTAAAAAAAGAAATACATGTTTCATAAGCTTCCCCAGCTGTTTCTAATTCATATTAAAATTGTGTTAGAATTCCAGAATTCCTGCCTTAAACCTATTGGATAATCATGACCACTCAACACAAATTTTTGGTTCTTTCCTACTTGAATGCCATTCATCAGCTATCTTATCCTCTAACCTGAACCCAGAAAATACTAGAGAAAAGTCATTTTTAGTGTTGATGTTTTTATACAGCATACTTAATGCTATATTTTCAAATGCATCTTCCATACAGAAAAGTTTATATTTGAACTTTATAGGCATGGCAAGGAAGATTCCATAGAAACTGAAGACTAAAATTTTTTTACCTTTCTGAGCCAGGAAAAAAGCAGGACATTAACAAGGCTGATTTATTCACATACCAAAATGTCTAGAATAGAAATAGGCTGTGGCATGGAGAGCAGTCTCTGGTAGTGTGATTAAAATCAAGGACTCCTGGGTCCTGTGTGGAGGCATAGCTGGTAAAGCTGCCATCTGAGATGCTGGCATCCCATATGGGCACCGATTTGTGTGTCCCTGCTGTCCCACTGGCTCCCTACTAATGGCCTGGGAAAAGCATCAAAGATGGCCTAAGTCCTTGGGCCTCTGCCACCCATGTGGGAGAGCTGAATGAAACTCCTGTTTCCTGGTTTCAGTCTGGCCCAGCCCTGGTTGTTGAGCCATCTGGGGAGTGAACCAGCTGATGGAGGATCTCTCTCTCTCTCTCTCTCTCTCTCTCTCTCTCTAACTCTGACTTTCAAATAAATAAGTAAATCTTTAAAAAAAAAATCAAAGATTTGCTGCTCCTCCGCACGCAGAGGAGCTGCACCAGACCAGACTCTTGTTGTTCCCTTTTTTACAAGTCTATTCTATAGTAAAGCAAGAATGAGCAAACAGCGAACTCCCAAAGCAAGAATGAGTAGAGAGAAACGGGAAAGAACGAAGCAACGAACTTCCCCGCGAACTCTCCAACGCACTCTCCAACCAACCCACACCACCGTGCTGTCTCTCTTCTCCTTTATAGTCCTCTCCACCAATCCGTGCTCCGCCTGTCCACGTGTCAAGCATGCCATTCTCTTCCAATCAGAGGATGAATCGGCTCCTGCAATTCTAGTAGTCAAGAATCAGCTATGTAAAAGCTGGTTACTCCTTAGCGCCATATTATGGGAGGCGGGCTTCGCCTCCCGCAGGAGACGGATCCTGCCTCCCACAAGATTGTTTAAAACTAATGTTTCTCTGAACTTGTCCACACCCATTGTCTAAATTGTAATTCCTTTTCTTGTGTTCTTGAATATGCTTGCAATACCTTGGCTTTTAACCATCTTCTTTAATTTTCTGTTCCATACTCCGCAGATAGCCTCTTGGATTTCAGACCTTTTGTTATTACATTCGCAAATTTTGTGAAGTCTTCAGTTTTCCACCCAAACTACTAAGACTCCTAATCTATGGTCCAAGTTATTCTTTGAGGTCAAAGATTGTGCCTTGGCATCAAATGCTGCCACAGTACTGACTCAATCACAGGCCAGTCCTGTATCTCTTACTCCCAGATCTTTCTCAGCTGTTAAGGGGTTTGTGATCCTTGCACTGGATTCATAGGTTTTGCCACACATGTTCACACCATCTACACTGTTTTCTCCTCATTTCCATTACTTATGTTGCCTGTGTCAGACAGGAGAGAAGTAGGTTGTGTTTTTATTTCAATCTTTCATTTAGAGAAGAAATGCAAAGTGTTACCAAGGAAAATGATTTCATGGCCAATCCAGAGGTTCAAAGCCCAGAGAAGTTTATATCTACTTTCTTTTTTCTTTGTTTTTTTTTTTTTTTTTAAATATTTATTTACTTACTTGAAAGAGTTACAGAGAGAGTGAGGTATGTGGGAAATTACTCATTATGGAGCAATACGCCACCTCACTGCAGGACACCCAGTGTTGTCTGAGGAACAAATCAACATGAGCCATGACTCCCATCATTGTGGCACTTCAAAACATGCCTGCAGATCTCCCAAATGGCCCCAGTCGGTTAATGCTAGCTTTAATGAGACTCACTGTCTTAGATGATTCCATTTTTAATTGCTGGGACTTAGAAGAAATCTACAGGAAGTGTGGGTATTCATAATCTGAACAAAAGCAGCAAAAGAGGGGATACCTATTAGGTGGGCATTCACCAGGGTGTACTGTAAGGAATGGGCCCTATGATATCCTGTAAGGTCACTTCTTTTTATGGACTATATGCCATTTATATCATAATGTACAATATAGAATAATTAATGAATTAAAAAATAATCATGGTTACCAAATACGTAAACCAGAGTATCAATTCAAAATTTCCAAGATAGTTTTCAGTTACTAAATATGACTGACAGATGCATCTTTATTAATAATAAACAAAATGCAAAAGTAAGCTATTGAAAATATAAACTTTCCAAAAATAATGTGTCATGGATATTTTACAATAGTACTAATTTGGACTGAATTTTTGCCTATTACAGGATAATGACATTTTGTCTTATATTAATGAGAACATGGAAATCAGCACTGTTTCACTTAAATTTACCTAATTAGAATAATTAAAACTAGTTGTTGGGATCAGGCATCTGACGTGGTGGTTAAGAAGCGAGACGGCCATCCTGAGTGCCTGTTTGATGCCAGCTCGGGCTCCTAGGTTTTCGATGCAGCTTCCTGACAATGTGCATCCTGGCAGACAGTGAATGATAACTGAAGAACTCGGGTCCCTGCAACCACATGGGAAACTCAGATTCAGTGCTTGGCTCCTTGCTTCAGTCCAGCTCAACCTTAGCTGTTGTGGGCATTTGGGGAGTGAAATAGAGGATGGAAGATCTCTGTCTCTCTGTTTCAAATAAATTGAAAATAGACAAACACTTAAATAAAAAACAACTACATGTTAGTTTGAATCTCAGTTCTTTCTGGGAGAGAATTGCAGGTACAATCTTCTATCTCTCGTCATGTGGCCAGTGGTCCGTTAGCAAGGAAGACTGGTGGTCACCGCTTTCTTATTCACTTTGATTCAAGGGGAACTTGGATAGTCTCTGAGACCAGGAAATTTTCAGCAGATGCTTGCTCCATAAATTAGATACTTTATAAATGATTATGTGACTGAAATCTAAGATTGTTCTATTTTAATATTAAGAAAAAAATCCTTTGTATTTTTCCCCTAAATTCTTTTATTCCAGGTTATAATGTATGAATAAATATACCTATATGCATTTTTATATGCATTCTATATGAAACTAGGTGAAAATAGCTAAATAATAATAATCACTAAAAGAACAGGCCTCTGCCTTTGAATATGAAAATAAAGAAACATTTAATAACCAGGAGTGGACTTTTTGGTACCTGATTACCATTCTGCTTGTTTCTGTGTGTCATGTTTGTTGTTCTGCTTTTGACAGGGATTTGATAAACAAGTGGATGTGTCATATATTGCCAAATATTACAACATGAGCAAAAGCAAAGTGGACAACCAGTTCTACAGTGTGGAAGTGGGAGACTCAACCTTCACAGTTCTCAAGCGCTACCAGAACCTAAAGCCTATTGGCTCTGGGGCTCAGGGAATAGTTTGGTAAGTGGAATGGGTTTAAGGAACATGTGCATGTACCAGATATAAATATCCAAACAAAACCCAGATGATAAAGAGCATACGATGAGGGAAAAATAATTTTTGTTGGAGAAAAAAATGAAATTATGAGTATTACTGTTATTTATAAGCCAATAACTAGCAATAAGTACATCTTGGCCTGTGTTTTTTTTTTTATGATCCACAGAAAAATAAGATTCATAACACAAGAACCATAAAGAAATCAAGAAACCTAGATATTTCTAGCTATTGGTAATATTTTTAGAAAATTTTATTTGTATGTTTCACAGTAAGAAATTAGGGGATATATTGTAAGTAAACAACAAACAACCCCTACCTTGATATGATAAAAGACAGGCAAATGGTATATCAAATGTTGCTTTTAAAGTTCAATGTTTGAAATTAAGATTCTATTTAGAAAAATACGATATTTGTAAAAGTTTTGCCTAATGTTGGTAAAATGGTAAGATCCTTGACTCTGTAACAGCCATTCTTTTATGACATTTTTGAGTGATAAATTGAAATTGTGATAAATTTAGATCTGACTTAGCTGTTACAAAATACTTGCAAATGTAATGATATCAGGTTAATTGATAAGCATATCTTATCAACCAGCATATTTAATATGAATTTATTAGTTTAATAATTTTTAATCTCTTTGATTATCCACAGATAAGTAAAAACTTATGACATGAACACTATGTATATCTATAAAGGATATTAATACAATATATTTAGTATATAAATTATTGCTGTTAATGAGGTCCACTTAAAAACAAAACACTTTAAAGGTATATTATGACAAACAAATAAGCATTTAATTAATTTTAAATTTCCTTTTTGATTCATCTGAAGTGTAATGTCATTTTAGAGATAACAATAATGTAATTATTTCACATCTTTATTTTATATTAAATAAAACCAGTTAAAAATATTGCTCATTTCATTCTGACAGCTGATTTAAGTTCATTTTCAGTGCTTAGTCTTTGCAAATACAGAAGGGCACTCCTAGTGTACTTGGTAAATTATATCATTAGGGTTTAAATTAACTCACCAAGGCTTTAGTTAAAATTCACTTGACCAATTTCAATCACACTTAATATTAGTCAGTGGGTTATTTTTGCAATTTGTAAGATGGAACATTTCAATACCTTTAGCCATGAGCCAACTCTTTCAAGATTTTAAAGACATTTAAGTGGGTAAATATTTATTTTCAATATTTATGTATTTATTTGTGGTGCAGGTATCAGCTGATCTGTTGTTGCACAAAATGGTTTCATGGTGTGATAGGCAGAATATGGCTCCCCAGTCTGCTCAGGTCCCAATCCTTACAATCTTTGAATATGTTACCTTTGAATCTTTGACTATGGTAAAATGGACTTTGCAGGTGCAATTAAGCTTAACCATTTAAAATAGGGAGATTACTTGGAATGTCTAGGTGGAACCAGTCCGATACAATGAATGCTTGATAATGGAAAGGGAAGGCAGAAGTGTAAATCAGAAAAATGAAGTAGGAAGAGATAGGAAAGAGATTTGATATATGAGGGAGACTTACCTTGTTGCTAGCGTTGAAGATGGAGGAAGTGGGGCCAGAAGTCAAGGAATGCAGATGGATTCTAGAACCTGGGAATGTCTGTCAGCTGCCAATCAGCAGTAAAATGGAGATCGCAGTCCTGTGACCAGAAGGACTTGAAATCTGTCAGTGATCCCAAGACCTAGGAAACAAATCTTCCTCTGGTGACTCCAGAAAGGAGCTCAGCCTGCCAGCCTCTTAGGCAATGCCTATAGGACTTCTGCCCTACAGAACTCTAAGATAATAAATTTGTGTGATTTAAGCTGAGTTTGTGGTGATTTGTTGTGGTACCAATACTAGTATACACGGTATACTGAAGCTTCTAATATTAAGATAATTCCATAAGTTACTTAAGTGTACCAGCAGAGAAAGTAAAAGAAAGTGATTCTTGTCTGCCTCTGTTTGATAGAAAACTATATAATATTAATGTGAGAAAGTTTTTCTAAGATTCTCTGTTCAGATGCTCAGATACTTGTCAGAATAATTTCCTGTCTCTTTTAGTAACAGTGAGTCATCAAAAATGAGGTCTGTCCAAACTGAAAGGACTTTAAAGACTCTTAAATAGACACAAAGCAGCATTTGATTCAATAACTTAGTAGATTGTCATAGAAAGGTTTGAAAATCTTCAAGTAAGAGTTTTGTAGTATGTTTCATAAAACATTTTGGGTCTCTACTTCTTCTATGGGATAGAAATCTTCCTTCATCTTAGATTTAGTTGTAAGGCCACCACAAAACATACCAAACACCGGAGTAAGGGAAAGGGTTTATTGATAAGGATATCCAACAGGCTAGAGGGAGAGGGTGTAGGAAAAAGAAAGAGAGGGGAATTGAGAGAGAGAGAGAGATCAGGAGAGAGGGAGCATGTGTGCGGGAAGCAGGTCCTGTTATACTCTTGCACCAGGTAGGGAAGTGGGAGCAGCAAATTCTGTTAGGGTGGGGCTGGAGCTGACACATGCGGTTGGGCCGTTTGATCACCTGACTTCTAGCAATGGCGACGGGAGCCAGAGCCTAGGATGGTGTCCAGGGCGTAGATCATGCCACAGATAAGACCTCACTATTTTACTGACAATAGTAATTGAAAATAGAGTTAAATAATAAAATACCTCTGAGTAGAAAAGAAATTAGGAGAGAAAGATAAATAGATACACTTTCCATTCACTGGCTCACTCCCCAAATGCCCTCAGCTGTCAATGTTGGGCCAGTTTGAAATCAGCAGCCCGGGACTCAGTTGGGTCTCCCAGGTGTGTGGCAGTAACTCAGTTACTTGGAGCACCCTCTGCTGCCTCCCAGGGTGTGCAGTAGGAGGAAGCCAGAATCAGGAATAGAGGCAGGATTCAACCCTAGGCTCTCTAATGAAGGCAAGTAGCATTGTAACAGCTGTGCCAAATCCTCACCACCAAATCTGTCAGTAAATTTGTCAATAAGGGAACACCTGAAGTCTATAATAATAGTCTCCTAAGATTATTTGACTTTTGTTTATAGCTGAGAGAATAAAATCATATTCAGGCTGGCAAAGAATGCAAAGGGAAATCGGATGGCATAGGATGGCATACAAGGCGTCTCCAAAATGTTTGTGGAAAATGTGTATGCCAGAAAAACAATGCATGGATTAAAAGAATGCATCAAAATAAACCTAACTTTTAATTACATCTTCCACAAACTTTTGAAATCCTCCATACCCCTGTCCCTCATCTTCCAGCCATCTCTAACTTGAGCGCAGACTCTGCAGTTATGGCATACTCCTCCCAGACACGAGTATTGTCTCTTCCTTGTCCATCTGCCCCAGGCAAGGCTTTGAGATACCTTGGTTTCCTTATCACATGGTGTATCTGTAACACACGGCTTCCTTACAGATCTGTTCTTGTATTGATTTGTCCTCTCCACCCACCTGACCTTAATTTAATTTCCTTTCTATTGCTTCTGTCCAGGGTGAGTTCATTTGTCTCTCACAACAAACACAAATTCATTTTCAGACCTGCTCCTGAAATCCATAAATCTTCTCTCTGTTCATGAAAGCAGTCAGCTTTGCATAACATCTTGAATGTTCCGTATAATCCTGAGTGTAGTGACTGGATGAAATTGGAAACTGAATTCCTAAATTTACTACAAGAAAAAGAAAACAAATCTCTGAGGGATAGACTAAAGAGTTCATTGATTTCCTTTTTTTATTTTCAACTTTTCTTTGAAGCAGGAATAAGACATGGAGGAACAAATTCCAAAACAGACACTATCAGATTCTTTTTACAGGTGTCACCATCAAACTGTGTGTGTATGTGCAAGAAGGATTCTTTATTTTTTTAAAATAATTTGTGTATTTTTATTTGATAGAGAAAAAAATGAATGCATGTTTCCATCTACTGGTTTACTCCCCAAATGGTTGCCATAGTGCCTGGTTTGTGTCTGAAGCTGGGAGCTGAGAATACCATCCAGATCTCCCACATGAGTGGTAGGGAAGCAGCTATATGAGCCATCATGTGCTGCCTTCTGAGGTGCGCATTATCCAGAAGGTAAAAGTGGAAATAGAGCAGGGGGTGGAACTAGGAGTCGAACCCAGGTACTCAATATGGGATGTGGGAATTCCAACCTGCATCTTTTTTTTTTTTTTTTTTGGACAGGTAGAGTGGACAGTGAGAGAGAGAGAGACAGAGAGAAAGGTCTTCCTTTTGCCGTTGGTTCACCCTCCAATGGCCGCAGCGGCCGGCGTGCTGCGGCCAGCGCACCACGCTGATCCGATGGCAGGAGCCAGGTGCTTTTCCTGGTCTCCCATGGGGTGCAGGGCCCAAGCACTTGGGCCATCCTCCACTGCATTCCCTGGCCACAGCAGAGAGCTGGCCTGGAAGAGGGGCAACCGGGACAGAATCCGGCGCCCCGACCGGGACTAGAACCCGGTGTGCCGGCGCCGCAAAGCGGAGGATTAGCTTAGTGAGCCATGGCGCCAGCCCAACCTGCATCTTAATGACTACACCAAATGCCTACTCTGGGATTCTGGTTTTCTACTATAAATGTTTGGCTTTATTGACACGCCACAGAATCCCCATCCTTCTAACTTGTTTGAAATGGAGTCTCATTTCTGCTGTCCCAGTTACCTTAAACTTGTTATTGGTTTCTGACAATTTGTTTTCCTTCTTTGGACTGCTTTATTGCTTACTTATTATCAAGAGAAAAAGTCAATACTAAAATATATTCAAAAGAAATCTGTTACTATGCTATTTTCTCATGCACCAGGAATGTTAGACTAAAAATGTCATTATTGAGAATCATTAAGACTAAGGTGAAATCTTCTGGAATAAAAGCAAATTTTCTTTCTGCCCCCATGGAAAAGAAAGATTACCTGTTGAAGCAGAAAGAATGAAAATTATTCTGCTACTCTGTGTGAGCTGGGAATCCTCCGTTGCTTTGTAGGTAAGGAATTGTAACATATTTTGTAGAAGAGTTTTGACAACAGTGGTCAGGTGTCAGTAGAACAAATCATTCCACAACATTTCCCAATCATCAGAAAAGGGTCTCAATGGTATTTCTTCTACTACCAGCCCCTGCACTAAAATGAGCATAGGAAGAAATAAACAGCAGGGGTTTTACTGTCTTCTCTTCCTGCCTTCCTGTTGTTCCGTGCCAAGCCAAGCGACACTTTGTATTATCTAACTTCTTCCTCTAAAGATGATTCAAACTGACAGCAAAAGTGGTGAAAAAAGTCACAACTAAATTTGGCAGCGAAAAATTGCCAATGCTGATCTTCCGTTTAACTGAAAAGGGGGTTATTGTGGTGATTTAAATGATGGGATGTAAAACCCTGTTGTTTACTTTTTGGTGGTGTAACATAATCAGTTTATAAGTCGTCCCAATCCAATATCCTAAGACAATATTTAGCAGGATATTTCCAGTAAAGATATAAGCATAACACATATAAAAACATAGATTTATGGAGACTATTGTAAAATAGTCTACATTTAAAATTTAAGTACTTAGAAACAAAGTGATATATTTTATGTTAGCTGAACTTTTCTAAAATTCCAGTAAGAACTAAGAGATGGGCCAGTGTTGTAACATAATGGATAAAGCCACTGCCTGTAACTCTGGCATCCCATTTGGGCACTGGTTCCATTCCAGCTGTTCCACTTCTGATCCTGCTCTAGGCTAATGACCTAGGAAAAGCAGCAGAGGATGGCCCAAGTCCATGAGCCCCTGCCACCCTTGTGGGAGACCTGGGTGGAGCTCCTGGCTCCTGGCTTTGGACTGGCCAAGTCCTAGTTGTTGTGGTCATATGGGACGTGAACAAGCAGATGGAAGATTGATCTCTCTCTCTCTCTCTCTCTCTGTCTCTCACTCTCTGTGTAACTTGACTTTCAAATATATAAATAAATATTAAAAAAAATAGAGAAAAGCATCTATTTAAAGTTGAAATACTTATAAAATGCACTAAAGCAGTCCAGCAGAATAGTTTATTTTAAATGCAATATATTTCCATATATATCAATATAATGAATATATAATCCATGTACGATTATTGATGATAATTGTATATTACATGTATATATACATACTCCTATTCTGGTGGATTAGTTTAACTTAATTGGATTGATATCCTATGTTATTTTATTTATTTTAAATATTTATATATTTCTTTGAAAGGCAGAGTTAGAGAAAGAGAGCGAGAGCGAGAGCGAGAGAGAGAGAGAGAAAGAGCACTTCCATCTGCTGGTTCATTCCCCAAATGGCTGCATTGACTGGAACTGGCGGATCTGAAGCCAGGAACCAGGAACTTCCTCCAAGTCTCTTGTGTGGGTTGCAGGGACCCAAGTACTTGTGCCATCTTCTGCTTTCCCAGGTGCATTAGCAGGGAGCTGGAATTGAAGTGGAGGAGCTGGGACTCACACTGGTGCTCATATGGGGTGCCGAGTTGTAGGCAGTAGCTTAACACACTGCACCACAATGTTGGCCCCTATATTTTAGATATATATATATATATATATATATATGCTATACATTTCTTTCTTTTTAACAAAAAATTTGAGAAATAATTTCTGGTTAATGTGTTTTAATTAGTAGTCTAATGTAAATGTAACCATTTCCTATGTAGATAACATATTTGAGTTAAATTCTCAGTTATTCTGAGTTCAGCAGAACCTCATTTGTTTACATATTCTCATTTGCAAAGCGTCATGTGGCTTACCTCATCAGCTTCCTTTGATAGGTGGATACTGGTGGCTATATGAGTTGGTTAACGATGGTCAAGCTGAGGGCTTGATAGACTAAAGAGAAGTCTAGAATTCTTATACTTATGGTTTTTCTTGGTTGTTAAATATTCTGAAGGAGGGCAGAGATAGAAATCATTTAAAAAGTTAGCACTGAGGTGCATGAAACTATGATTATTACAGCATTTTATCTAGTGAATCCTTTATCATCCCAGCATCTGATTCTTTGTCTATTCCATCTGATACAATAGATACACATACATCTGTTTTAAATCCCCATATAGGATTTAAAGTGATAAGAAAATAAATGTGATTTGGTGTACACCTAGCATGTAAGGCTGGGAACTTTAGGGAGGGATACAAAGTCTCTTTAAAGCTATTGATAAAGTGATAAAGCAGGGTAGTTAGCACTACTTCCCAAGGAGTCTACATTGCTGACTGAAAAACTCCCCTGTGCCTTAGTTATCAAGGATAAAGGAGGAAAAGGTTTTCCATGTGTGTGAGTGTTGGTGTTTATGTGTTAGTTTTTGAATTGTGGAGAGTAGTATGCACCTTTGTTTTCCAACTTTATGTAGTACTAGTGGGTAGAATTATTATGGGGAAAGCAGAGTCCAAACCAAAGAAACCAATAAAACTAGGACCAAACCAAAATATCACAGATTTTTCCAAGTGCTCCAAAATATGACTATAATAATGCCAAGTCAAATCATATGCATACAGAATCACTGTCTGTGAAACCATCATAAAAATAGTAATAGCCTCTAGGTACTTGGAAAACATGGCTTATTAAAAGACTCCCCCTTTAATTACTCATTTTTGTTAAAAATACACTATTGACTCACTGATGATTTTAGAAACTTTTTCTATCTTGATGAACTTGAGTTACTCCATCAGTGCAGATTTAATTACCTTTGAACTAATTAGATACATTAAAAAATGCCTCAAAAAGGCTAGCAACCAATTTTAAGTATATTTAAGAACAAAAGGGATTGAAATTTGGTCATGCTAATGTGCATGATACAAAGGTAGTCAATATATAATTATTGCTGATGAAGATTAAATGGAAAATTGATTAAATTCCCAGAACTCTGTAAAAATGACTGCACATTTAAATATTGTAGATTAAACTCCAGATACTGAAAGATACATTAGTATCTTCACTCATTACAATCGCAAATCCACCTATAATCAACAAGTCATTGAATTTCCCATTGTGTTTTATCAATAACAGTATTTAAGTTTCGGTTTTCTAGAACCTAGATTTACTTGTCTATAAAATAAAGATAGTATTATCTCGTAAGAACCAAGAGAATACAAGCTTAGATACATGAGACTGTCTTATAAATCTAAAATTGTTATGAGCTTCAGTAGAATTGAGGGGAAGAATCTTGTGTTAAACTTTTCTCACAGTGGAAAATGCAAAAGGTCAGCCTATGTAACCCAGGAAGATGCCTGGCTGTAATAGTTGCTTGAACATCAGATTAAGTATATTACATGTTGGTATAATACAACTGAGAACATAGGATTTAATAAAATGACTTTACTAAAACTCTACCAGTGAGTCTGGCAAAGAAGCATCTGAGCCATTTCTCCCCTCTTTACCTACCCCCCTCCATCTTTCCACCTGAATTTCAGTTAATCAATGTTATTTACAATAAATAACATTTAAAATTGATTTTTAATCAAATCTTTGAAAAGTGACTACATAGACCCAGCTAACTATTTTTAAGCATACAATTTGGATAGAAGCATTATATGATTATGAGGTTGAGGATAATGATGAGATATGGGTAAATTCATCCAGAGGGTTTTCTAAGACATCAGACTTCCTGAATAACACTAAAGAGACTTGATCAATGGTCCCCAAATGATTTTGTTTCTGGAAAGATCACTCAAGCTTCCTTGGCACATTTCTCTTCTCAGAGTCATTAATGAGCCATTACATGAAATGACACAGCTTTAATCACACATTTCCATTTAGCCCTTGACCAGTGGAAATGATTACCCTGGGCTTTGCATCTGGGACATCAGCACATTCGGTGTCTCTACTATTTTTCATTAATTTTACAATTTAGACCCTTATTGCAACTTTATTGAGATAAGGAGTATTAAGCTACAAATACCTTGTTCTCACTGTGGTCTGCGGTACTGATGGCCGGGGGAACTGGATTCTTCTTCTGCGTTTTGCTGTTCTTCATGGCCTTTTTGTGCAGCATAGATTCCAAATATTTATTTAACTTATTTCTTGATTAATGAGTATGACGTGCAAATCCAATTGTTCCAACACAGAGAGAATCTGATGCTTTGAAAAATAATGGGTAGAAGTTTGATGTCAATATATTTAAAGGAAAAAATATGCATGTAAAATATCCACATCTCTCTGTGTTAGCCACAAATTATATATGTTCTCATGTGTACAAATATATACAATTGTCAATATGCTAACTGATGTGGAAACTGTTGTTGGTACATATTTTTAAAAATTGCATTTGGCTTTGGAATGTCTTGTGGACATTTATTCTGATCTCCGTGATTCTTCAGTTAATCTGTGATTATTTACATTGTATAGTGAAAATTGACAGCAAGAATTTGTAGCCTAGCAGCATTTTTCTTGACAAAGGTGAAAAGTAATCATTTAAATTTCCATAGATAATTATTCACTTACAGATAATTGAATCTTTTCTGTAAGTCATTTAGAGATACAAGTGATAATGTCACTGCCACAAGATTTTATTTTTCAGTTTCTACTTCAATCCTAAAGATGAGATAGTTAAGTGATACTGATTGATTTTTATTTTATTTAATATTTGTCTTTTAAGGCATCAATAGATTTTTTTTTGTTGCCAAAAGGAAGTCAGTTTGTGGTGCATGTACTATTTTTTCAGATGCATAGATCCTGACTAGTTGTTAGGACCAAAGTGTACCATGGTTATATTAAAAATAACCCATAACCCACATAGAACTATCTGAAGGCTTAATACTGCGCTATTCCGTGCATCTTAGAAAAGCCAAATTCTTCACAGAAAGAAGTTAGATCATCAGTTAAAGCAAATTAAGCTAAATAACAGATGGCAACTGCTGTTCCTCAGATTCGGGGAATCGTTCTCATTTGAAGCTCCGAGAGACCTGTCCATTCCATCTGTAGATCAGGTGGCTTTTTATTGTTTTAAAGAAGAGAGCAGGTATGTGTTATAAATATTGTAACTAAAAATACTAAGGATTAGCAGAGCTTCTAGTGCAGCTCAGAGGGAGGGAGGGTTCTTGGCCGTGCCTCCGGCCTGTTACAGCATCACGTTCTGTTTATAGAGGCTGAGCTGTCTTGCTAATCATGGGTTTGAATGTGAGAGCTGAGGACAAAGAAAGACATCCTTTAGCGCAGGAGTGACAGCCCTGTCATCCCCTTTGTCTGCTGTCCGCTCTTGAATTCCTGATGTCTCCTGCAATGGGATTTAAATTTATTTAAAACATTTGACCCTGTCAAATGATTTTTCACTTTACGTGTTCAAAGTTATGAATCCAGCATTGAGCGATTGCATTTTAAGCTCCTGCATGGTTGGAGAGTTTAAAACACCACCAGAAAGGGAACATAGCCACCTCATTTGACATAAAATTTCTTATATGAGCTTTGGATTCTCCTAGCTATGTTCTTCCTTATTTATATTATTCTCTATTGTTTTCACTAAAATGTTTCTATAGATTTTAATATGCCATTGATCAAATCAATATATTACAGCCATTCTGGGTAGATACGATGCCCAGTATATTTAAGGTTTTTTTTATCTTTGAGTTCATCAAGGACAGCAGAATATGGTTGAGGGATGTGTGCATGGGGATGCAGCACTTGTAGGGGCTTGACTCAGCCTCGTCTTTACCTGACCCTGGTGGGTGGTCACCTTCACCCAAAGGTACTGTCTTTTCTAATTCATGCACTCCCATCTGATGGGCTGGTGGCTGGTATTAAGTGAATGAACTTCAGGCCGGCGCCACAGCTCACTTGGCTAATCCTCCGCCTGAGACGCTGGCACCCCGGGTTCTAGTTCTGGTTGGGGCGCCGGTTCTGTCCCGGTTGCTCCTCTTCCAGTCCAGCTCTCTCCTGTGGCCCGGGAAGGCAGTGGAGGATGGCCCAAGTGCTTGGCACCTGCACCCGCATGGGAGACCATGAGGAGGCGCCTGGCTCCTGGCTTCAGATCGGCGCAGCGCGCTGGCCGCAGTGGTCATTTTGGGGGTGAACCAACGGAAGGAAGACCTTTCTCTCTGTCTCTCTCTCTTATTGTCCACTCTGCCTGTCAAAAAAAAAAAAAGTTAAAAAAAGAATGAACTTTAGATTTCAAATGACCAGTAAGAAACTCAGTCTAAAGAGCAGAGATAGGACTTGGAGAATAAGAACTCAGAGAAGATCTAATAAATATCAGATGGCAACTAATCCACTGGCCTAATGGTTCAGACCACACAAGAAAATGGAAAGAATCAGTGAATAGAAGAATTATCAGCCACATTGTTGGTACATAAACATCAGTCTCCTCTTTGTGCAAGCCTCTCTCCTCCCTCCTTCTCTCCCCACGCCTCCTTTCCGGCATCTGTCTTCCAAGGACTCCCTTTTCTTGAGCCCAGGGCTCTCCTGCTGAATTGTTTTCTTATCCGACCTGAGGCCTGCAGATCGGTTTCAGATGCTATCAGACGCTTTCTATTTTATCACCTCCTTGTCCTCTGTAGCTTTCTTTTCTAAACTGTTATGTAGATCAGCTCAATGGACAAGGGCTAGTTCCTTTGCTGCTGCTGGAAGGCTGGACCCAGCTGGAAAAATATCATTGTGTTGATTTTTTCCAGTGTGCATTTATGAGCATCACCTCAGCTGGGCCCTCATTCCTGCTTAGCAACCATTCTACTAGGTACCTCTTCACCTCTCAATCCATATCCCATGGTGGCTGTTACAATCCTTCTAGAACTTTCATGCAAGCTCCCAATTCCATTGCATAGACTCTATACAGAATGCTTTACCTCCTACATGCCGGAGAAAACAAAAGGCCTCGGGTCTGTGAGCTGTCCATTTCACCTTCCCCCTCCTGTCATCTCCAGTCTTTCCAGTCATTCCAGTTCCTCTGTGAGGAGGACTGCAGCTGGACACCCAACTGTGTTTCTGAGTCTTTCTCCTCCCCTTGGGGTCTAGCAGTTGTTCTCTGTCTTGAATTCATGCAATGTTCCTCCCCTCCCCCAACTTCCCAACTGAGAGACTGAGTGAAGTTTCCTACAGAATGAGATTCAGGTATTTCAGAATGGTGTACTAGCCACTGTTTCCAACGTGCTGACAGCTTTTGTGCACCTGATATTTATAAGAAGCCATTGCACCCTACTGAATGCACTTGATGTGCCTACCATTTCCGCTGGGAAATTATTACTGGCTGTGGGGAGCAACTCAGACTAGACTGTTACTCGAATTAAGACTTATTCTATGCATCTGCTCTCCCACAATATGGCGCTGAGAAGGGAGTAACAACTTCTACGCAGCTGCCTCTCACCAACTTGATTGAGCTGCAGGAGCTGATCCTGCTCCTGATTGGAGGAGAGCAGCGTAATCGGCGTGTGGGTAGCAGAGTTGGGATTGGTGGAAGAGGACTATAAAGGAGGAGAGAGACAACATGCACCAGGAACATCTATGAGGAACACCTGAGCAGCCCCTGAGAGAGCCGGCCGGCGGTGTGCCGCTCCCCCGCGGAAGTGGGGAAAGTGGCAGGGGGAACCGCCCTTCCACGGAGGTGGAAGGGACGGTAGCCAACCCGGGAAGAACCAGCAGTAAACCCGGGGAGGGCCGAGCAGACGAAAGAACAGCACAGGGTCCTGTGTTGTTCCTCCACGAAGAGGGGGAACGACAACTGGCTTTCCCATTTCAGCTCTCGGGTCACCCCGTCTGTGAAGCCCTAAACTCACCTTCCCGACTGCTGAGCAAGAGTGACTTCTCTCCCATCTGTGTCAACATGATGGCTCTTTTGTCACTCTTCACCATGTTATTACTATTTAAGTCTGTGTCTGCTGCTGCATGATGTTCGCTCTAGGACAAAGATCGTGACCTATTCATCCTTACAGTCTCCAGATTCCAAAAGTGCTTGATGCTTAATGGAAACCCTTTACATGTTGAATTGTTTCCTGTTAAATGCATTGATATCACAATGTGCGTATTTGTATTTGTAAATACTACATATTGGAGGAATAGTATGACACCCCTCCCCCAATTTCAGAGGAAATGCAGCAAATCATAGAAAATGTACTTGAAAGCCGTTATCACCCTATGAAATAGGTACTGTTTTATATGAATGCCAATAATTAGGATAATTTGAACATTCTGTAATAATTATGCTTTAGGCTCATCTAAATTAATGAACTAGTCATGTCACAATTGATTTTTTCAATCATTCTTAAGTACTATAGCAATTTAAATTTTATCTGATAATATTAAATGGCACTGGGCCGGCGCAGTGGCTCAATAGGCTAATCTTCCACCTTGCAGCGCGGGCACGCTGGGTTCTAGTCTCGGTTGGGGCGTCGGATTCTGTCCCGGTTACCCCTCTTCCAGGACAGCTCTCTGCTATGGCCCGGGAGTGCAGTGGAGGATGGCCCAAGTGCTTGGGCCCTGCGCCCCATGGGAGACCAGGAGAAGCACCTGGCTCCTGGCTTCGGATCAGTCCGATGCGCCAGCCGCGGCGGCCATTGGAGGGTGAACCAACGGCAAAAGGAAGACCTTTCTCTCTCTCACTGTCCATTTTGCCTGTCAAAAAAAAATTTTAAAAAAAGGTTACTACATCTGAATTTTTGTGGCTGGCGCCGCGGCTCACTAGGCTAATCCTCCGCCTTGCGGCGCTGGCACACCAGGTTGTAGTCCCCATCGGGGCGCCGGATTCTGTCCCGGTTGCCCCTCTTCCAGGCCAGCTCTCTGCTGTGGCCAGGGAGTGCAGTGGAGGATGGCCCAAGTGCTTGGGCCCTGCACCTCATGGGAGACCAGGAGAAGCACCTGGCTCCTGCCATTGGATCAGCGTGGTGCACCGGCCGCAACGCGTTGGCCGCGCCGGCCATTGGAGGGTGAACCAACGGCAAACGAAGACCTTTCTCTCTGTCTCTCTCTCTTACTGTCCACTCTGCCTGTAAAAAAAACCCAAAAAACAAAAAACAAAAAACTTGCAATCTCAAAGAGAAAGGAAGGTTTACATTTGTTATGACAGAAAGCAGAAAGTCTGTTTACCCTACTAGAGAGGAAACATTGGATATTGGAGTCAGTGTGGAGTTGAGGGGGAAGGGGATGAGAGAGAGAGAGAGAGAGAGAGAGAGACAGATAGGCAGACACAGAAAGCTAAGCAGGAATAGTGAGAAGAAAACAGATAGCAATAACAGAAAGAGGGAATGGAGGAAGAGAGGAAGGAGAGACACACGGGAACCCAACGCAGACAGCTGAGCTGCACCCATGGAGAATCAGAGACTGAGAGACCAGAAAGAGAAAACATAATCAAGGAAGTAGGAAGGTATAATGGGATTAGCTATGAAAAGAAGCAATAATACTTCATAAAAGAGGAAAATAGAATTAAAAAAAAACACTTATTTTTGCTTACCAAGAACCACATTTGACATGCTACACAAAATGTCTTCACTAAGGTGGTCATGTAGAGGCAGAAATCTGAATTGAGAAGTCTTCTGATGATGCCGCTGCATGAGATGAAGCGTGTGAATAGAAAAGTGGGAAAAGATGCTAGAGAAGTTCATTAGTCACAGAGTGAATCCTGCAAAATTGCTACCTCTGTGCTTCTTTGCACTTTGAGGAGGATGAAGTTCATTGGTAGAAGTGCCTCATTACTGAAATCTTTTCTTTTGATATACATGGTAAGAGATAGGGAATAGAATCAGAGTCAGCTACCGCGTCCATAGCACACAAACTTATCCTGTATTGCTCAGAGACCTTCGCTTCTTTATTAGAAGACTAACTATATTCATTGATTTTTGTTCTGAAACAGGTGTGAAAGTTTGGGATTGGAGGCAGCATATTATTCCTTAAGGCAGTAACTGCATCAGTGACCCATGGCCCCTTTTGTTTTTTGGGCAGTGCTACAAAGGCCAGATGTTAGCCAGAAATATAAAGGGGATTTTGCACCAGCAGGAAGAAGTTATGAATCTCAGGGTCTATACAGGGACTACTAAACAGTTGCCAAGGAGATGGAGAGAGAGAGTGTGTGTTTTAATCACCCTAAAACAAAGATGTTCTCAGGGGAAGAGAAAATATAGGTCCCTATTTCACAATCCTTTGTAAATAGATGGCTTGGGCTTCACTTACTTTGAAATATGAAAACATTTCTCTGTGGAGGTTTCCCTTCACTCTACCTTCCAAGACTTGTCCTTAAATTAAGTTCAGTGTTCTTTGCTGAGAGCTCTAACAGTGCAGAAACATTAAAATGTCTATGAGATATATACTATTAATAGCATTACTAATTTAAATTTCAGCCTTACGGAGAACTACTGACATTTCCAGATTCAAATAACATTGTTGAGGCCAGCGCTATGGCACAATGGGTGAAGTTGCCACTTGTGATGCTGACATCGCACATGAGCACCAGTTCAAGTCCCAGATGCTCCACTTCTAGTCCATCTCCCTGCCAATGTGCCTAGGAAAGTAGCAGAACATGTTCCAAATAGTTGGGTCCCTGCCACCAACGTGGGAGGCCAGGATGGAGTTCCAGGCTCCTGGCTTCACCCTGGCCTTTGCCCTGGCTGTTGCAGCCATTTGGTTAGTGAACTAGGAGATCAAAGATCTCTCTCTGTCTATCTCATTCTCTCCCTCCCTCTCAATAACTTTGCCTTTCAAATAAATTAAATAAATATTAAAGTGATGTTATAAAATTGCTATTTAAAAAGAATTTGAAAGTAATTGTGTTATAAAAGCATGCTTGCTCTAACAATACCAAGAGCTTTTTTTTTTTTTTTTTTTTTTGACAGGCAGAGTGGACAGTGAGAGAGAGAGACAGAGAGAAAGGTCTTCCTTTTGCCGTTGGTTCACCCTCCAATGGCCGCCGCGGCCAGCGCGCTTCGGCCGGCGCACCGTGCTGATCCGAAGGCAGGAGCCAGGTACTTATCCTGGTCTCCCATGGGGTGCAGGGCCCAAGTACTTGGGCCATCCTCCACTGCACTCCCTGGCCACAGCAGAGAGCTGGCCTGGAAGATGGGTAACCGGGACAGAATCCGGTGCCCTGACCGGGACTAGAACCCAGTGTGCCGGCGCCGCAAAGTGGAGGATTAGCCTAGTTAGCCGCGGCGCTGGCCCACCAAGAGCTTTTAATGTCTTAATTCAGCCAATGCATAAGTGCACATGCTATAGCCAGATAAACGCTTGTTATGTGTGTAGAAATAAAAATTATCCTCTTTAAGCACACTGAAAAATGGATTGATAGTTTGGCGCCTCTTCACAGAAATATCACTAACACCTGTTATATGTGGTCAAGAAGTATTTATTAGTGTTTAGTTTGGTGAACAATATGTTTGAAATTCTATGTTATTGTCACTCTGATTTTCTAACAGGCTTAGTATCTGGTAAATGCTTTCCTTGCCAGAGGAACTTTGCCAACACAGAAAGTTTT